AAAAAACATGTCAAAATTAAGTGAGTTTTTGCTTAGAACAAACACAATAATCTTATTTCAAACAGAAAACAAGATTATTTTGTTTACCCCATTGGCAGATTATTTTGCTTGTTTCAGGCAAAAACTCACTTAATTTTGACATGTTTTTTCTGAAAACCAGACAATAATTTGTCCTTCTTGATTTAAGAATTTTTAGATATTCTGGCTGGAAACAAGACAAAAAAAACATTTTTTTTTTTGCAGTGCAGGATTTACAAACTGGAAAGAAAGATTGCGGAGAATGCTTTTATCAGCAATACTAGCTAGTTATTACAAACCTGTGTTATTTTAGTATTGTGGTAGCAGTTTACAATAATATTCTGTTTGTTAATATTAATTAACTGCATAGTAAACATGAACTAAGAATGAAAATACTTCTAAAACCTTCATTAATCTTAGTTAATTTCAACATTTACTAATACATTATTAAACTCAAACGTCGTATTTGTTCATATTGTTTAAAGGACCTGAGCTAACATGAACTAACAGTTGTATTTTTTAGGGATGCACGATATATCGGCCACCAGATCGGTATCGGCCCATATCTGCTCATTTTTTCTGTTATCGGTATCGGCCTGATAAGAAAATTTGGCCGATATCTTAAAGCCGATAAATAATGCATTATTTCCTTCAGAGACACTTCAGATGCGCGCTGTTCGTTTGCAGCCTTTTGTGCAATTGTACGTTGTAATATTGTGTTTATTTGATGTATATCTGATTTATCTCATATAGAATGCGTTTGGTTAAGTTAAAAGAGCTCTTCAGTTTACCGGTGATCGTCTTTAGCTCAGCACACGCAGTTCAAACAGCAGTGCACAACATTAATAACTATGATTGGGAATGTTGTGTATATAACATTCTAATGAGAACATTATTATAATAAAACGTTGTGCATTCTTTGGGTTTAGTTGCTGTGTTTCAGCGCGTTGTTATGGGAAGAGCGCATCCACAACAGGATCACACATTCTGACTATAGCATGCAATAACTGCGTCATTTTGTACATATATAAGTTGTAATATTATGTTTATGTTGTATTAATATTAATCTCAGGATGCATTTCCTTGAGTTAAATAAGCTGCCAGCAAAACGCTTCAGTTTACCATGTTCATTCCGCTCTTCAGCTTCAGCACGTGCAGCTCAATGGCTGCTATTTAAAACAGTGGTATTAATTTGTTACTTTTTCAAAATCATTGATACATTATTAATAACAACAACTACTTGTATTTTTCTCTTATTATTTTCATCAACAATATGGTTTAGTAATTAAAATCATTTAATTATTGTCCGTGCAGAGGCTATTCCGTTTTATTGATCTGTGGCGCATTCATTTTGATTCTTTACACGTGTAATGATGTCCAGTGACTTGTTTGCATTATTTATGCATTATTTTATTTATTTGTAAGACTTTTTTATGACTAAATTTGGTAATGGGAGAGTAAAAATATTTTTAAAACGTACACCGTTCAAACTAGGCTGCTTATGTTGAAGTGTTTGGGATGTGGCTTTTAATGATGAGACCTTTTTTGTAATCAGGCTCTCAAAAAGTATATAACAATTTGGATATAGATTTATCGGCCAACATATCGGTTATCGGCTTTCAAAAATAAAGAATAATCGGTTATCGGTATCGGCCAAAATTTTCATATCGGTGCATCCCTAAAAATACTAGCATGCAATTTACGACTTTGCATTAAGAATTATACATTTTTAATTTGCTAAAATATGAAATGTCTTAATATTCTAAAAACATAAGAATCCTAAAGGACAATAAAGCCGTGTGTTTGTCTAGATCAAGGTTTCCCAAACAGGGGTTCATGAGTTGATGAAAAGATAATAATTATAATAAAGGAAAAATTCAATTAATGTGATTATCAAAGGCTGCAATTTAATTAAGAAACTGTGTAGTCTAATGCACTGCATGCTTCAAAGTAAAGCGCAGGCACTTGTTCACATAAGCAGCTCGTGACAGTATATTCAGAAAGCAGCCCAGTAAATGTAGCAAACTACAACTCTGCATATGCTGCCAATTTAACATGCATTTGCAGACACGTGTGCTAGGTTAACCTTTAAGAACATTTTAATGTCAAGAATTTAAGACATAAATATTAGCACTGTAACTAGTAGTGTAAAAAAATTGATCTTTTTATTTTACAGTACAAATGTAATTTACAGTAGGTTAATATTTTTGTAACTAAAGTTAAACTAGCCAAAAAGAGGTGAGTCCACTTTAAAGTCCAGCTAGTTAAGACAAAACAGGGAAATAAATGGAAAAAATATGATTTTTTTAATGTCATCCGAACATTAATCAAGATGAATATGCAAATGTGTAATTAAATTACTCTTTCATAAATGTAAAGATGTACATGCTGTTCTAATACATACATCTTTAATATTTTAAGAATGTACAATGCACTGTCTTTGATATTTAGTGACACTGCAGCGTGTGCTTGTGATTATATGTTATCAGTCATAACGATGAGAATTAAATACAGAAATATGAGAATAGTTATCTTAAAGGTTGTGTGTGTTTTCATAAAAGCACTGGTATGTGCAGCAGACATAAACTAGTGAAAGTCCTCAGATGTGTCTGAGGTGGGCGGGGGTGAATCATGTCTCCTTCATAGCCCGCTTTGCTTGTTGAATCTAAACAAATGTAGCTTGCCATTAGCCTGTCGAACATTTCCAGCACATTCCCGTGCTGTAAATCTCCTTATACTCTCCAGCCAACACAATACACCACTAACAACACGAGCTACCTCAGTATTTGTCAGTTCGCGCCTTCGGGCGAAACATTATTGAGCTAAAAATGGTCGCTCGCAAGTTAGCAAAGCTACTGGACAGTGGTTTGTACATCAAAACAATTAAATCGCCAACAGCAGTCGCACGTGAAATTGGCCAACCGACTTCGAGCTACCCACGCCAGGTTTTTCATCTTAATAGCACATCTTATTTTGAGGGGAATATTTGAGTCCGAGGGGTTTTAATGTCAGCGGCTAACGCTAACAGAGGACTTGTTAACCGCGCTCTAGCGAACCAGCCTTTTTATTCAGTAAACACGCTTTGGAAAACGACAAAGAAACGTTTTTATTTATTTATCCTATGGTGTTTAATTTATAAATCAGTATTTGTTTAAATGCGGTACAAACATTAGCGCAGCGCCGTCTTCATCTGCATGGAGAGCGTGTTCTCACAGACGGAGGGGGCGAGTCGTGAAGACGCGAGATTTCAAAGCACTGCGACCGTGGCGTAGGGTTAAAAACTCATTTTCGCATGTATGCGATCAAAATACGCTCCGTTCAAACACTTACATGCCAAGGGTCACAACGGCACGATCCGGAGATGGTTGTGGATCTGGCCACAGCTGCCCGTCCGTCACTTCTCCTCTCCGCTGAGCGCGAGTCACAGAACGACAGATGGATCTGCTACAGCTGCTCGGGACGCCATTTCCCGCCTCCTCTCAGAGCGATTCTTGCAAAGGACCCGGATGACGGCTATCATCTATCCATCTATCTATCTGTCCATCCATCTATCTATCTATCTGTCCGTCCGTCCATCTATCTATCCATCCATCGATCATCTATCTATCTATCTATCTGTCTGTCCATCCATTCGTCTGTCTGTCCATTCATCTATCATCTATCTGTCTGTCTGTCCATCCATCTATCTATCTATCCATCCGTCCGTCCGTCTATCTATCTATCCATCCATCTATCATCTATCAATCCCTCCATCCATCCATCCATCCGTCTATATATCCGTCCATCTATCTATCTATCTATCTATCTAAAGAGTCAAAATGTCTACTTCATGAAGAATCTGTAATTTTTATATTTATAAAGTAAACTGCAATCCGATTAATATGAAAAAGTTACTCAGAAGTAGAATGTGTTTTTAATCACAATATCATGGATTATGCCATAGCCAAAATTATTATATAGCACTGTAATTGGAAATTATACAAAACTAGCAAACTATAATTTAAAGCAGGCCTCTCTGGATATTCGCTTAAGCAAATTAAGCACTATCAAAGAAAAAATTTTATTAATGAAAAAGAATATATGTTTGCTCTGTTCCCAAATAACAGTCTGTTCTATTTCATTCCCATATGCATGATGGTCCGGTATGGTCCTGGGCCTCCCCAAAGTCCCCTTAATTTGAGGAAGAAAAACAAAATAGGAAGAGAAAAAAATAAATATCTGGCATGTAATCAGAAGAGTAAGTTCTGATCAGTACACGATCGGGACTCACTTGAGAAGTCCATGCCAATACAAATGAGGCATGACATCAGCTTTCATGTGGTACATGACCCTGCTCTCTTTGCTCTGGTCCACAGGGAAGGTCTCCAACGGCTGCCCGTCATAATCAAATTCTGCCAAGATCACTGTGTTGTAGCTTGTAACCAGTGGGCAGGAGGTGTAGCCATCATACTGCAACATACACAAAACAATTACTATTTAATATTAGTAAGGAGCATTCAAGTAACATTTAGCTTATTTTGAATGATTCTTTTCATGATTTATTATTTTATCATTTATATATAATCAACTATGTATTTTCATTATATAGTATATCTGTAATTTAATTTATGAATGTATGTATTATTTATGTGCATATGAATGTACTTTCTCCTTTTTTGGTGTAGTTATATAAAGAAAATGGCTATTTTTGGAACAGCATGCCACCATACTCCTTGTACTATTTCTGGTATAGGCATGCATAATATGCATACTATTTAACATTTTCACATTTGTCACATTTGCGTATCACATTTGCCAAACTGTTCAGTATACAACACACTGAGTTCCCTGTGTGGAATAACTATCCCACAATGCACTGGACTTAATTTTTTCCTGTACAGTGTGACAAATTAACCAGAATGTCAGCCACAATTTTTTGCAATCTCCATCTTGACTAATCATTTGCCTAAACTGACTATTTTAAGCCATTTTAGACAAAAATGTGTCTCAATAATCTTTTCATTTTTTTAATTTAAATTTTGTTTTTAAAAATAACTTTATAATAGAACGGAATGCAGCACACTACATTTCAAAAAAAAAATTGTGTGTGCTTTTTTCTCCTTAATTTAATAGGATAGAGGGCAGACAGGAAAGGAGGTTTTAGAGAGGAACCGTATGATAGTATTCCATTCCTTTACTGAAGCATTAAAGCAACGCACACCTTATGGAGGTGCAAGTTAGGGAAAAAGATGTTGTGAAGAAAAATATCATTCCAAAAAATATCACTTGCTCATTTCATTCTACGCCCTCTGGTGGGTGTAGAATGAAATGAGCAAGTGATATTTGGAGGGGAGAACAGCATAGCACTTCTACAGTGGTAAAGCACATTAATGTTTATCCTTAAACATACTTACTATCTTATCCGGCGTCTGTTTCTTCAGAATTCTACTGACAGTTCGGTCGAGTACTGCAGACTGTGCAGCTGTAGAAGATTATAGTCACAGATGATTTTCCTGGTCATCTCATTTCAGTAAAAAAGGCACTAACAGCTCTCTCACCAGGAAAATCAGCTTGGTGAATGGGAAAGTAACTACTAATTAATGGTGGAAAATGACTAAAGCAGATTCTAGACCTGTCTAATGAGTACTGATAATTAAGAAGGAAAGGTTTAACTTATTTTTTTCCTCAGTATTTTACCTACTGCTGCTGCCGTTTTGGATGTGGGTAGATTGGTGCAGTCTCCGATACCAAATACATTGGCGTAAGTCTTATGCTGAAGGGTGCTCTTATTTACATTCAGCCAGCCGGCCTCATCGTCCAGCAAGGAGCCTTTCAGCACTGCAGGAGGTCCCATCGGAGGGGTGACGTGGATCATCTCATACTATCACCAAAATGAAGGGCACGTAAGACACTCAAACTACAGCTAACAGAACGAAATATGTTTTTTGTCGAATTTAACAATGGCTACCTTGTAAACCTCTGTCTCCCCAGGTTTGTCCAGATTCTCAAAAACAGCTTCCTGTTTGTCGGCCCTGACCTCGATGAGGTTGTGCCTCAGGTTTACGTTAAGGTCCCGCTTCTTCACAATCTCCCACAAGGCATCGGCGTATTTCTTGACCCCAAACAGCACTGGCAAGGAGGTGTTATAAATAATGTTGGCTTTGGACCTTTTTCCCGTCTAAAAAAATTAAAAAAATAACATTGTCTAAAAAATATTGTACTTTCTTTGAGTATTACCGAGTTGTAAATGTACTGTACCATGTTAATCCTTTAGTACTGAATGATTACCATGTTCATTTTTCCCATGGTATTTACGTGGCACTCCGAGCTACTTCGAATAATATCATGGTATTATCATGGTACACAAACAAAAACATGGTTTTACCATGATATAAGCCCAATAAACGTGCAATTACCCTTGTTCATGTCAACACAACATGGTATTGCCATGATACATGTCCAAAATACATGGTGTTACCATGATACATCGACAAAAAACATGATATTACCCTTGTTTCTGTCCACAAAGTATGGTATTATCGTGGTACATGTGCAAAATACATGGTGTTACTGTGATATATGGTCAAAAACATAGTATTACCCTTTTTAATGCCCTAAAAGCAAGGTAATACCCTTGCTTCTGTCCACAAAATATGGTATTACAATGGCACATATCCAAAATACATGGTTTTACTATGATATATGCTCAAAAACAAGGTTATATCATGACATTTGCCCAAAAATCATGGTATTACCATCATGTCCAAAAAATGTACTAATAACATGATATTTTTGTAAGTGTATAAATAAAAGGTGATTATTTATGTACGTAATCCATCATGTTTATATGTAAATTCATGATTGTAACCATGGTTTGGGGATTTCACCTTTCTCAGGAAGGCATCAGAGAGGTACATGATTTTCTGAGGAGCTCCTGCACATTTGATGGGAGTGTTTGGGAAGGTGAACAAAGCATTGCCCTCCTTAAAGTTCTTCAAGGCATTCCATGTCTTTTCCACTGTTTTCACGGAGTAGTTTGAACCGATTTTGGGATGTTCAAACCCTTCAGGCAGGCCCTTGATCTAAAATTAGCAGAAGGAAATCAATTGGATTGACAACAAAAACCCATCAAACATCACACTTGAAATTGTTAACTCAGGATCATTTTTAACTTTGGTTTTATTAATTCAGAGTTATCTTGTTCCACGTTTCACTCTGTGAAAACAGGTACAGTTTCATATTTCTTTGCATATATAGTGTCATGTCAGGTATGACCATAAAATCCAAACACAGAACAAAGTTTGACATTTTATTTATCTTGAACTTTGGTATCAAGTCTGATAGACATGTAATCGGACACTTCCTCTGGACTGATGTGGCAATAACACCACACCCATACTGTGTTAATAATAAATCTGCAAAAGCCAAGAATGCTTCCTCTTAATCAAAACATTCACTACATACAGTTAAGAATTCTCATCATGCATATGAAAGTGGAAAACTAGCAATTTAGTCTATTAATGCCACTCATTACATACCTTTTCATACTGGAGCTCAAGGCCAAGAGCTACAATCAGATAATCATAGGAAATCTGAGAGAAGAAAAAAACAATTACATGCTAAAAAAAAAAACTAAAGCTGGGTTGAGTTTGATTTAAGTGAGCGTTCCAGATCATATGGCAATATGTTCATGTTACTTCATATCACGCTTCATATCAGCTATGATTACTTTATAATGACACACCTTCATGGTTCAATATAATGTGCAATTGCATAATACGCAACATTACTGATGCCACAAAATTTCCCAGCTATTTCAAAGCACTTTTCAAAAGACTCTTTTCTATTCTAACACATGGCACTCTGAGACACATTAATAGCTAAATATCAACCTAAATACCTTTTCCCCAGAGTCTGTGTGGACAGTGTTGTCCTCAGGATCGAATTCTGCCACTTTGGACTTGACCCACTTCACCCCTGATGGAATCACACTCGCTGTTGGTCGCCCAGAGGATGCAACACTTTTGGACCCTGCGCCAACTAACGTCCATATCGGCTGATAGTAATGCACCTGGAGTCAAAAGTGCATTAGATGTAATGTTGAACATTGAGGAAACAAACAAAGGTTTTTAAAAAAAAATGAGTCAGTACGATTTTTTTATATTTATGAAATACGTCTCTCATGCTCACCAAGGCTGCATTTATTTGATATGAAATACAAAGCAGAATTTTTAGCAGCTATTACTCCAGTCTACAGTGTTACATGATGCTTCAGTGCAAAACAAAAAAAACCTTACAGACCCCAAAACATTTGAATGGTAGGGTACATGTCCATACAGTGAAGACTAAGCAGGAACTTGTTAAACCTGAATCCCAGCATGTGAGGTACGTGATGCCTCAAGAACAGCCAGGCACTATAGCGGTCTCTTAAAGGGGCAGTTCAGCTATAAATGCTCTGCTGCAGCATACCTCACTAGGCTCCACGATGGCCACGTTTTTTGCGCCGACCTTTCTTTTCATGCGTGCGGCCATCGCTATGCCACCGCTCCCACCACCGAGCACAAGAACTTTGTAGTGGTCCTTAGAGGCCAGCCCAGAACTGGTGTGAATATGTGAGTTAATGACAGAGAAAACTCTGCAGTACTGCCTGGACAGCAGCAGCTGTGGGTGTAGTTGGCCTGCCATGGTGGCCTGCCAAGAGAAATATGCTAGTTATAAAACAAGTTATAACCAAAAATAATCTTTGCAATGACCACAGTGCATAATAAAGAATAGATATAGATTCAATTATGTTAAAAATATATATTTTTAGATTATAACATTTTTCACTTTCTGCCATGGAATAAAAAAAAAAGTTAATAGCGATTTATCTAATAATCCTGACTTTTTCTGGCAATGCAGAGAATAAAGTCAGAACTGTGAGATATAAACTCAGAATTCAGACTTTTCGAAAAAAAAAAAAAGTCTGAATTGTGAAATAAAAAGTTCCAATTACCTTTATTTTTATCCCATGGTTGAAACAAGCTTGCATAGTTATGACTGGCAGACCAGACCAGACTTTGACTAAGTTGGTTAACCAAGGTTGCTGATTTTTCTCTTTAAAAAATAGTAATTTTTCACACCAACGGCAAAACAAGCACAGATGAACAAACTGCCGTGCGAAAGAATTGTATTCAATAAAAAATAAAAATATGAATCAGGATGAACTCTAGTATAATTTAAAAAAACGAAACAATTGAGCACATTTATCATATGAAGACCTGTACATGACATGTAGACAGATATAAAAACAGACATTGTAACCACAAATTAAGAGTCATTTATTACAATGTATTAATTTGTGGCCATGGATATATACATAAATATGTACCTCTGTACATATAAAATGATTAAGGTCTTAAAACTTTAGCAAGGTTGTGATGACAGCTTCTCAAAAGCCCTTTTTTTGTTGTTCCCAAAATCATCTCAAGACAACTGTGTAATCTAGTCTACTTGAAATATAATACAATTGCAAATGTACTTTAATCTGAAAAAATGTAAGGAATGAAAATAATAGCCAGCAGCGTTTAGAAATCTTAGGTTTGCGTGCATCTACTCGCCTTTTTCTTTTCAGAACTGTCCTCTGTGTGTTGGAAGAGAGTCCTCACGTCTGTTTGATCAGACACGGTGGTACACAGACAAAATCATACTTCCTATCATTCCTCCACAACACACCTGACAGTTCAAGCTGAGTCATGATACCTGGCATTGTGTGTGGATGTGGCTCAAAACCTATTGATCCGCCTACCTAGGCAACATTTTGGCCATCATTGTGTCTCACAGTCTACTAGACAGCATTTGTTTCGTCTCAAAACCTGGTGAACAGCCTCCCTAGGCATTTTGGACATCATTTAGTCTATAATTAAGCGTTTTGTTAATAATTAATGAGCGGCCTATCAATACAGGCAGGCAAATGCCCAAAATGCTGTCTAGCTAGCTAGTTGTAAAGAAGGTCATTGCATGACAATACACACCCTTCTTGATTTATATCCCCAACAATAACATATAAGCATGGAAATGCAGCTGACTACATAGAACTTTTGACGTCTGCGATCATTATTTTTACATTTTGCTGTACATACAGTAGGCTACATGCGTGGTCAAATTGCAAATAGAGAGCTGCGTGTAATATGCACCATATAACAATGAATAATTTCCCTCCCTCTGCACGACATAACAGCAAATCCTAATTTCTGACACATATCACACATTGAACTGGAGTGAAATAAGGTCTTACCAGAGCTGTAACTCTCGCCACTGCCAGTGTTACAGTAGAGCTGCGGTTTGTTTTCCTGGTTCAGCTCGGTTTGAAGTACGAACTTTATTATTCGGCAGTCAGTGATGCAATTTCACAAATCTCTATTTATTCTAATTATGATTTCAGAGCCCTCCACGCATGTTTGTAGAGTAGCTAGTACACACACAGGCCCACGTAAGAACTTTGCACGCACGTACAACACAAGCAAACATAAGTTGATGTCATGCCGCCGTAATCGTCCAGAAGGTGTCGCCATTGCATTTCCCTCAAAGCTGCTGCATTATTATCAAATATCACAAGAATTATCACAGCACTCAGTATAGAGAATGAGGAGTTACGTCACGATCTTTTCACTCCGCATTGCATTTCGGGAAGGCGCCGCCATATTAGCAGGATACGCTATCCGTTCCCATGGTTACTTCTCATTCTCTATAAGGATAAGTGCTTATCTTTTGTTTTGTTTTTGCCTTTAAGTTAAACAACCACAGCTGAACACTAATAAAACACCTCATCTTTAATCATTAATCATCTCAATTAAACATACTAATTAATTTAATCTCAGATAGATTAAGTTATCTGTTGTTATACTTGTAATAAATCCACACAGTTCTAATTTGACACAAAACCAAAAAAGTAATGCATAATGCAGTGTATTCTACGTTATTTCAAATACTCGGAGTTACGCTGGTTTGAATATTATAGCGTTTAACGATACCATTAATGTTATATACAGCAAAATGTTATTTACAGTCAAATAAACAGAAACAAATTAACCATGCTTTTTAATTTTAGTTAATTTCATTTTTATATATATGTATATATAAAATTAAATATTTAATATATTTTTATGGCTATTAATAATGTAATAATATTATATAATTAATCATATAATATAGGTTATATTCGTTTACGGCTTCTTGTTTCGCGCGGTAACCTTCCTCATTAACGGCCGTTTGTGCGCGTGTATGTGCGTGCGCTGCAGAGCTCGAGCGCGAGTGGACAGGAGGCAGGTTTAGGCAACGGTCTGGTGTTTTCTAGCTCTTCTTCGTTTCTTATGGTCGTGTTACTCCACCCTGTCTCCGGAGCAGAGCCAGACATGAATGGATGGAGCATGTTTTCGGTAAGCGTTTGTTGTTTATGAAGGATCGCTGTACTGATATAGAGCGCAGCTATGAGCGTTACAGCATTATGACTGTTTGTCGGTGGGATGGTATTGTCTCAGTATTGCATTCTGTAGCGAATCTTATATATAAGATCTTATTTACATCCACTGTATGTGCCACTTAACGTTACAGGCTTTCCGTTATTGGGCTGTAAGGGACAACTGAGGTTACAGATGAGATTTTTCAGTCTGACAAATGTGTCTATTTGGACACTAAATAATTGTAATAGATAGTGTATTCTCATGGTTTATTGCAAGTAAAAATATTATAAATATAATCACTACAATTGATTAAACATTGCAAATAAATGTAATATTAAAATGTATTATATTTAACATTTAATGTTGATTTTAATTTCATTTATATATCTATTTTAATATGCATATGTAACTTACTATATAATAATAATTGATGTTGTTGTTTTAAATATATTTATTATATGTTCATATAACAATACATTTGGGTAAAAATTGTATTTATTGTGTTTTAAAATATGTTGGTAATCCATAAGTACATAACAACAACAATAATAATGGTAATTATTTATTAATACATTTATATAACAATAAAGTAATATATTTTATTTAAATAATAATGGATCTAGTGTAATTTGTTTGTTGGCTGTGCATAATTATATAACAACAATAATAATAAAAATTATTATTATTATTTCAAATGTAATTATTGTGTATACTTATATAGCAATACATGTAGGTAAAATTATTAATAAAATATATTTCATAAAGAAATAATTATTAATTAAATATTTTTTATAATATTTGTTCCTTTAGCATGTGTTATGTATGGATCCATATTTGTTAGCCTATAGTTTTGGCAAATCTCAATTTAATTCCATAGTATTTTCTAATATTGTATTCTATACTTTCATTCCCTTGCAGGTTTATTGATAGAGTATATGACTGTCAATATATGAGAGTCTATAATCACTTTTATTTTGGTCTGTAGAGTTCTGCAGTCAGTAGTAACTGAATACATATCATCTGGATTATGTAATCTGATTCCAAAAGTTAAGTATTTGTAATTAGATTAAATTACGTCAAAATACTCGTAATCAGACTACATTTACTTTTTTATTGATTACATATTACATATTTCTCACACAATAAATAATCCATAATTTATTGCTTCTCCCTAATTCCTCTTTTTCATCTTTTAAGTGCTTATATACACTTCTTCCAGTTCTGTGGACGTTCACACAGTCAGAGACCAGTCATTAGTCAGGTGGCTACACAGCATTTGACCACTGGATTTACAAAAATCATTTCAGGTTTAAGAAGTGTTTCAACACCGCATCAACTACTGATGTACACATTAAATATTATTTGAATGATCACTTATGTCTTTGGAAGGCTTTTGCCTTTCAAACATATTCAAATTCACAAATTCACATTATTTCTTTTTCGTCATCTGAACCTCTTTCATCTAGGCTAATATGTTTACCCCTGAGATTTAAAAATAAATATTTTAATAATTTAGTATGACATTTGCATGTTCACGGTTCTCTGACGTTGGTTAATAGTCACATGACATGTAGGTAAACTGATAAAATATAGATTTTTTTAGTAAGTGTTTTATTTTGATTGATGTTATTTTAAAATGATTTTATTTTAATTTTACATTTTTATCATTTAAATAATTATTAACTTATCATTAAACTCACGAACCCCAGTTTGGGAATCCTTGACATAATGCAGTTTAATGTTAATTACAACGAATGGAATATATTTTCTTACTCTTTGTATTTTTATATCAATACAGTACAAGATTATCTGTCAAAAGTAATGTAAAAGTAATCAAAAAGTAGTCTGATTAGATTACTGTACTTAAAATGTGAATACCTAAAATGAAAATACCTAATATACCTATAATATATATTTGTGATATTAAAAAAGAAAGCCATCCAAAGTGTGTGCTGGGTCACGTTTATTTTCAACAAACCTTCCCACACACTAAAACGGGAAAGCTTACAATCCTTTCACTGCTACATTCAGAATAATGTGCAACCTAGAGATGCTTTTTCTGTATTCGCCACAAATGGTTTTGTCATGCAAAGCCAGCATATGGCAGGACACTGCAGCGGGGTCACCTGTGTTTACTGCAGTCTTCCCCGCGGAGCGAGTGTGTTCCCAGAGACCTGTCGGGTTTCCTGGCTGCAGCTCCGCTGGGGTCTCATTAGGACGGTGTGGGGGAAGAGACACGGTGTGCGTCAGACATTAAAAACAGCGAGAACCACATGTTACTTTAAAAGACAATTACACTGTAGTGTGTGACTCTAGCTGACCTTCTGATATGCTTCCCAGTGCAAGTAAACAAGCCGTTATGAATTACATTATGGCTTTATAGGAAAGTGTTTTGTTGGGATGTCACTGTTTATCTGCCTCTTTGTGAAAAATCACTATCAATACAATCTTCCATTCAGCTAAATGAAATCTAGTCGTTTCTATGAGGAAGATTACATGGTGTTCAGTGGAAACGTAGTTGACTCACACTGGTTTTCCTGGCATGTTTTTCAGAGAAACCCTCAGAACCCGTCCGAGATGGCCTGATGTTATGGCAATTTGGAAGAAGGACGTTCGCATTGGTTAGTACAGTTGCTGAACAAAATCAAAGGGAATGGACAAATGTCTAAAAACACATAAACATACTAACATTGATGTTTAAAAATGTTGGTGTATTCATGTCATCCCAAATGTCTTTAAAGGGGTCATGAACTGGCTTTTAAAAAATAGTTTTATACTGTTGTCTGAGGTCCACTTATGACGTTCACATGGTTTTTACATTCAAAAAGATCAAAATCAATAAGTAATAGGCTATTTTCTACCCTGGTTTTGAGGCCGGCTCGAGAAACGCTGGTTTTTATGGGTGTGCCGCATTGAAGACTTGGAAGTAAACGCCCACTGCTATGATTGGATAACAGTTTTGCATAGTAAACCTTTCTGTGTGCCTGTTTGACAAGCTACGTCCTTCATAGTTGGAGCCTTCTGTGACTTTGGTTAGACACGTACACATAATCAGGACATATCAAGCGATTTCTAACAAAGCAATAGTGACACAGTGCAAATATTTTTTACTCACATAAGTGTGCTGCGACATTCCTTTTGGATCCAATATAGACTGCACAGCATTGCTTTTTAATCTCAGTCTCTCTGCAAATCCTGCATCGACCTGTGTCTTGTTTACAAAGGAATCCGCGGTGAAATGAAGCGAACAAACGCTCAATGTTTTACTCGCGTGAGCTGAAACTTCATTAAAAATAAAGTTCAACCACGCATTCCTAATATTTGAATCCGAAAGAAGGTTATGCAGCGACTGTGTTCTTCCACAACTAGGCACTGCACAATATTTTGCGATCTTTAATGGCATGTTTATTGCTTGGTTGCTCGATCCAGTTTAGTGCCACTTAAGTTATTACCATACTATGTCATGTGCGAATTAGTGGGCGGGGCTACAGAATTAGCCGTTGATCTTCTTCTGTGGAGGCGGTGTACTATTATGTCATAGGTAGGTACATTCGAGGATCTGTCGTTCGCTGCGCCTTGTGTCAATAAAAGCTTTTATTTCAGTAACAAGGACGTTTTCAGTTCTGAAACTTACAGGATATTCTTTTTGTACGATGATCTCTTATATATGAAAAGTAGTGCTGGGCGGTATACCGGTTCATACCGAATACCGGTGTTTATTTTTGTTATGATATGAATTTTTAAAATACCGCAATACCGGTGTGAGTGTCTCTTAAACAATGTTCGGAACGCGACACTGTTTGAAAGGGGTCTCTTTTCACTGTTGCACTGTGGTGAGGGAACAGCTGTATGTGTTACTAAGCGTGAAAGTTCCGAAACTGAAGCCGTAGAACTAATTGAACGTGATGACAGAAGAACTCATCCACAATATCCACATTGACCGCCACAAATATCCACCGCCCCCTTCCATCAGCTCCCGCTTCATTTTTTGGTCATACCGCCCACCACTAATGAAAAGCTCAAGTAAAAGTTGATTTCTCAATTCATGACCCCTTTAAACTATGCCTGTCCAGTGAATATGAATTGATTTTCATGTGTTGTTCCT